GTGGGAGGTGTCCCTGCCCATGGCAGGGGGTGGCACTGGATGGGCTTTAAAGGTCCCTTCCCACCCAAACCATCCTGTGATTGATGAGTGGCAGCTGGGGAGCAAAGCCCCAGGATCCAAGCTAGCAGAGCTGTTTCCAGCACCCTTCCTAACTCCTTTTCCACCTTCTTCTCCAGATGAGTCTTTTGACGAAGACTGCTTTGACGAGGACGCATACTACGCAGCTCTGGGAACCCGCCCGCCTCTCAACATGGAGGAACTGGACTCTTCCTACCAGCACATGATCGATCTCTTCTCTCTCTGCACCAGTGAGGACCCCAAGAAGCGTCCCTCAGCTGCGTGCATAGTGGAGGCCTTGGAGACAAGCCTGGCCCAGGAATAAAACCACCCCAGCTCCCCCATCCACACACTGTCGAGCTTGGGGACAGTGGATCCGGCTCCAAGCTCCAGGACACAGGAGGCTGGGATTGAACACGGAAGAGTAAAGCTACTCCTGCAGCCTTTATCCTTCTAGTATGTGACACCTGCTCTGTGTACGTAAAACCAGAGCCTAAACTCATTAAGGACTAACCCCCAGTTTAAGGACAGGCCTGGGTGCTGGGGCTTGCTCTGCTGCTAGAGCAACCCCCTCACATGTGCTCTTAGGTCCTGAATAAGCTACGTGCTCTGTTGTGCACTAGTTTTGCTTTTAGGTGTTGTGTTAGAGCTGTTTTGAAACCTTTCCTTCTCTCTTTGTGGTGTGTTAACAACAGTTTTGTTACTGAGATGTTAAAAATAAATTGTTTTCTTAATGTCAGTGTGACAGCGGTGCTGCTTTTTTCCTTCTGAGGAGTGTGCGTGTGTCTGCCAGGTATGTGTAAGCTTTGGTGAGGGCTCTTGTGCAAAATATTTGTGCTCTTGAGGTGCTGGGGACAGGAGCCCCTAGGTAACGAGATCATTACAGAGGTTGAGCCGCTGTGAGCTCAAGGAAAAGGCTTCCTGCCATCACAGCGTCAATTGTACCATGCTACAAATGGTGTAGGGTTAAATCCCCAAGTCTCTTGGGGATTTATTAAAGAAAACCCTGCTGTTGGGGGAAATTCCTGGACACAAAGAGGTTGCTCCACACACTTGTCCTGTTCCCCCATGCAGCCACTGATGCCTTCTCATCTGAACTCAAATTAGTTGGAAGTGTTCCCACATCGCTTCTGTGCGCAGAAATGAGCTCGAGCAGCAGCGTTTCACACGTTTTATTGAGCAGACAACCACCGTGACAGCTTCCCCTGCAGCACACCACCCTGAGGGTTCCAGATCTTATACACGGGGGGAAATCCTGCCACGAGCCAGTTGTTTTAAGACTTCTTATACTCCTCTGTGCAAAAAAATCAGCAACTGCTTGTACTAAGGCTTCTGCCCTGCTTTTTACAGCACACACAGGGCAGAGAGCTCAGTTACATACCCCCACATCAGGGACAACAGCCAACTTTATATTAATTAAACCTTTTAAAGAAATTAAGTTACTTGCAATAAAATTTAGTTTCAGAAAAAAAATCTTACAAACCTACCTGAAATGCAAGCAAGGTTCCACAACATCCACTAAACTAGAACTCAACTCTGTACACAAAGTGACACGCTCCCCCCCAGCTCGCTCGCCAGGGGAGGAAGAACTAGCGCTCAGACATTTAGCCAGGTAACAAGGCTTAAAAGTGTTATTTTAAACACACAAATTATCTTAGATTATTTCAACAAACCTCAACTGGTACTAACCAAGTAAAATCAGTTGTTATAAATAAAATTATAAACAAGGAAGTTAGGAGTTTGGCAGTATTTCATTGCAAACAACTTGCCATCTGGTGTCGGGTCGGAGAAGGCGATTTCGTTGGTGCTCAGGTAGCAGCCGTACATGAAGGTGTTCCTGGAAGAGAACAGAGCTGTCAGCCTGCGGCTTTTACCTGCAGCGCTGTCCCCCCAGCCCTCCTCTGCAGGGAACTGTTACTCTGGCGCTTTGCTTTCAAACAGGATTGCTGTGAGATACCAGTTTGCTCTCTTGGCTTCTGGTGTCATCAGGAACCAGGAGGCATTTTAAAATGAGCAAGAAGGATAATGTAAGATCAAACACAGGCATAAAACCCAGGAGGAAGTGGAGACTGAACACTGGCTGATCATTTTTCAGAATATTGAGCTCCAGCTACAATAATTTATGATTATAAATACATACATATATACTCCTATACTTATGTCTGTGTTTGATATACAGACAGGGAGCAGGTGTGACAAAAAGATCTGTGCTACGGCAGGCTCCTGGACTCCCAAGCTCCCCTCAAGGCACTCTGTATCAACAGAAGAGGGGAAGTTTGTAAGTCTTCCTCCCAGTTTGGTCCGAGCTTGAAAAGTTTGGAATTTCCCGCCTGGAAAACCTCAAGTGTTTGGGGCCATCAACTTGGCCAGTTAAAAAAACAACCAACAAAACACACACACACAAAAAACCCCCCCAAAATTTTTCTCCCCAACAAGTACAGTTTCTCTTGGACAATCCAGTCAGTGTAGCTCTATGTTCCAGTTACACCCAGCAGTTAACAGCTCGGCCCACACTTGTGTCAGATTTTAAATAAAAATATTACTTAAATATCAGATACACATACAGTATGTGTCTACCGGACATCCTTCCACTACAAAGCAAGGATTTCAGACTTGCTTAATGATACAAATTTATCTCTTTTCCCCCAAGTTCTTTCTGAGGACTTTTTTCTGCAATCCCCAAGGACAAACCCTGGCTGGAATCCCCGCTCCCCGCCGCTCCGTACCTGACCACATCCACCATGCGCCGGGCGATGCCCTTCCTGCGCCTCAGGCCGAACACCCAGATCCTGCTGACACCGCAGACGGCCGGCTCAGGCTCGGTGGAGCAGCGCCAAGCCCGGTGCTGCTGCAGGGCGTCCTGCTCAGGGGACGGCACGGCTCCCGGCTCAGACAGCACGCGGAAAGCCTGCAGGGATGAGCAGAGGCATCAAACTGCTCCTTCCCGAAGGGACACAGAGCCACGGACCTTCCCGCACTCCCAGCCTTGCCCTCTGCTCTCCCACAAGGCAGGCCACCGCATAAACCCACTCCCAAACCAGAGGCGGGTGGAATCTTGCTGCAGCATCACCCGTGCAAACTCAACTACCTCCTGCCAGCAACATCTCACCCTGACAAAAGCACGAGCTTTTCCTTAATGTCTTTTTTTTTGGGTGGGCTTCTGTTTGTTTGCTTTTTATTTCGTTAGTTTTATTTCCCCCTGTCCTAAGCCGGGATTTCCGATACACAAGCTTACGCAAACAGCCCCAGTTATTAGCCTGCAATTTCACCCCCTCCCCATACAATTAAGAACACGTACCTGCTTGATTGATTCAGCCACTAAACACCCAACAATCATCTTCTCGTTGGACACAAACAAGTATATTTTAGCCTTGGCTGGGCAGCTCAAAGAAACTTGCTTAAATCCCAATTCGTTATCTACAATTTCTCGCACATCTTCTGCCTAAGAAAACAAAACCAGAGAGAGGCGCGTTAGGAAGCAACACGTGTGTTTCTGGTGTGAAAGCTGTCAGAAAGGGGACTTGCTCCCCCAAATAAGCCTGTGCTTACGCAAGATCAGGCTCTAAACATTAAAGATCAGGCTCCCACTCGTGTTTTCATCCCTCTACACCTCTCGCAGAGCACACCTGCCTGTCACCCCATCCTCGGGATGGAAAGGAGCGGGTTATGTTGATAACTTAAGAACACAAGCTCCAGCACAGGGAGCAGGGTTCAGATGTGTCAGGGTGGGCGTCCACAGCAATCCAGATCACTGCCACAGCCCCACTCAGCTCTCCTGGTCACCCTGTGCACTGGCGAGCGATGTATGACCACACGCTGAGGTAGTTCCAGGAGCTGAGCCAACAGAGAGCTAATCTACAACATAAACCCCAAAATAAACAAACATGTACCTTCTTGACGGCATATTTTGGGTCACTTGGAAGAATCAATACAATTTTCCCATCCCAGAACTCTGCCACAACTCGTTCTTTCTTCCAACCCTGCCACAGAGGGGAAAAAAAAAACCCCAAACAAACAAGTTAGTGGTCTGACAAGAGAGAGGAAGTGATTCAGCAAAGGCTCTGGCAGATGAAGCTGCAATCTGAACCACTTCAGCTTTCAGGAATCAAGTCAAGTCTCATTCATCCAACTGATGCAGGCAGACAGTTGCTGGAACTGCTTAACTGACATTTTCACCTCCCCTCAGGGTGACAAAACGTTTGCCTGCAGCTGTCTTGACTTTGTACCTGGGTACCACGTCCCCCCGCGTTCTTCGCCTCAGCGGTCAGCGCAGCCGTCGCCTTACCACGTATCGGAGAGCCTCGAGGAACCGCTCGTGGTGCTGGATGTGCTGGGCTTCATCCTCCGGGCTAGCGGCCGTGTAGATCATGCCACAGGACTTGCAAACTATGGCACCAAAATGCTTCTGACCGGCATCCTAGTGAGAAACAGAGCCAGCTAAGCACCCTGAAGCTGTTCAAAACCACAGTCAGTGTAAGGAGTGAGGCTGAAAATTGGTTCTAGCAACAATAATCAAAGATTCAAGTATTTGTTTTCATTTGTATTTGTGAAAAGGAGTCTTTTCATCAATTACCTAAAAATAATCTAACTTTCATCTCTCTCAGGACACAGGGAGGGGAAGAAAAAGGAACCAAACACCAGCTGTGCAAGCAAGCAGCAGATTGATCTTTAAGCAGCGAGGTGAAGTGAAGCCCAGTTTGTTCAGGACTCATTTCCCTGCACTGGCTGCTCTCCCTTCCCCGTGGGCTTCCCCCCCTGCCCCGTGCCACAGGACCCACCATCTGTCCCCTCTCCCTCGCAGGCCCAGCAGCGGGACACACAGCTGACTGTGCCGGGCAGGGTGGGAGCTCATGGCTCAGGGCTGCGATCACTGCTGAGTATGTGCTGCTGCCTTCCTCTCAGCGCAGGCACTCCGCTGGGTTTCTCCCTTCCACAGGGACCAATTTTCAAAACACTCAAAGATTTCTATCTGTGAGGTCTTGAATTTGACAGAAATCATCCCCATGACTGCCAAGGGGCTAGGAGGGGCAGATCAGCAGACAAGAACGATCATACAAGCCCTACTCCCTCAGGAAACAGGCTTGAAAACATCTGCATGTCACCAAGCGAGAATAAACGGTTCACTAAAAAATTACTCATCGCTCTGGGCGTATTTTCTGGAAACCCATCCATGTGATGGCTACATGACACACGAGCCTCAGTAACACAGTTTGACCTCCTCCTGCTCCACAATCAGGACTCCACAGCGAAGGGCAAGAGCAAGAAGGCAGACATGGAGCTATCCGAGGCACCCGCTCGTTAACAGAGTGAGCACTGCTCGGCTCAGCTCTCGGTCACACATTCCTGAGGTCGCAGCACTGTGCTGACTCTGCTCGCATGGCGGGCCAGGAAGCTGTGGGAAAGGAAAATTATCCAGCCAAATCCACTCCTATAGCATCCATACAGGCTTGGCTGAGTTACTCTTTGCCTTTTTTTTTTTTAGGTCTTATGTTCCATTAATCTCTTTTGAATTCTAAAATGTAATGAAGTGTTAGTCCCAGGGAAACCATAACAACCTATTTCCCAGCTACTACCCTTCTCCCAGCCTAGTGCTGAATATATTAATCTCTGCCACATTACAGTTGTCACAGTGTGGTTGGTTTGAGGTCTACACGTAAGGAAATCAACTTATTGGTTAACCTCAAGACATTTTTCTTGTTTCCTCCACACCAAGCCACCCTGAGGACCCAGCACGCCCCGAGGGGAACCTTACAATGACCATCTGATCTCTGGAGCACTTGCAGAGCTCTTTCGCCTTCTTGCTTTTCTGCGAGGTGTGAGATGGTTTTGCAGGTGGGTTGGACGCAAAGGGAGAAGTCAGTTCATCCAGCGCAGCCTGCGTCCTGAAAATCATTTCAGAGAGAGACAAGAACAAGTCACTGCAGACGAAGGTTAACGTGGCATGTCGGGTACCAGGGCATGGTAGAGAACACCCCAAACTAAGCAAAGCTTCTCGGCAGCGGTGGTGCCAGCTCCTCTGGAGGAGGAGGAGGGAAGGAGGGAGACCTCCAGGAAGTGCCACAATTGCATCAGAAGTTAAATGACTCTTGATTAAGCACCGATCTCACATCCACAGCCATCCTATTTCCAGGATATTGGAAATTCAGCTCCTTGAACAGTCAAAGGGATACACAACAAACAGAAGCTGAGGGCCACAACTGAGGAGAACTGGGGGTTTGTGAAGTCCGCAGTGGATCGAAGGGCTCTGGGAGATGAACACAGGGAGGGAGATGTGGCTGTGAATGCCTGGGGACGGCAGCAGAGCTGGCAGGGGAGTGCTGCCTGGCCACACTGCAAGCCACAGCACCACAGCTCGGTCTGAGCAGCACAGGATCCGTGCCAGGCTCTGGACAGTGTGACAGGAGGCAAGGAGAAGGGTCCTCCCCTGCCAGACTGGGCAGCAGCATCTGAAATCATCTTACACAGCTTCCAGCACTCCCATTTTGTGAGGAAAGCTGACTAGAGAGGGCATACCACCAGCACCACTCTCTCCTCAGGGGGCAAAAAGGGAAGAGAATGGAGAATTGAACTCAACCTACAAAGCATTTCCTCTAGGATTTGATCAAGCTGTACAAGAACCTGTGACAAGGTTTTGCCCAAGAATCACCATAGCTTGGTCTCAAGCCCACCTTCTGGGGTCCCGAGACCACTTCCCCACGCAGCTGCTGCTTTGCCACCCCAAGTCCCAGCCCCTCACACCAACACCACCTTTAGACCAGAGGATCAGCAGCATTTCTGGAAAACCCCTTGGTGTTGGGACCAAGCTCTCCTCTGCCATCTAGGAGGGACAGCTTCCCAAAGAGGGGAGCAGAGTGAAGCAAGGCCAAGAGGAATTTTTTCCATATTCAGATCCAGACATGGAAGCTTTACAGGAATTTCTGAGTTTAAAGGTTCATCTCCAGGGAAGCCCACTGTCAGGGGTGTTAATTTTTCTAAGCTCCCCTTAGACTGCTGTAGGTAAGGTGGCATTTCTTAAGCAATCTTGAAGCGTGAAACTGTAACTATTGTGCAGGGAACCTTACCATGGAACTAATTCAGAGAAACACCAAATGATTTGATAGATTTGCATGCTACGGAGAAGTTCCGAAGCAGAGACTTGATGTAGGAAATGCTTGTGCTCATCAGCTTCCCCCGAGACAAGGGCAGATCTGTGACTGCTTTGCAGTTAATCCCAACCACCAGCATCTCCACACATTCCAGGGTTCTGCTCACACCACGGAAGGTATTTGAAAAGCCACAGGGGGAAGCAAAGCAAATATTGCAATCAGATCTTTCTTTCAACACTTCTGGGGCACAGGATTACAGTAGCACGACAAGTTTTGGAAAGTTTATTTTGGCTCTTTTAGAAGCAGCTTTAAGTGAGGGGGGTTTTTTTATGTTCACAATAAACTTGGCTCAGAATGCTTTTATTGTTAACAAAATATATCAAGAAGTTGATTCCATGTGGGAGAGGGATGAGTAGCTCTGCTTCTTGTGTGGGAAAACAAGACTTTTTTTCCACTAGAGGTCTACGACAGCAAACTAATTGAAGAAATAAGCTAAGCAGAAGCACAGACACCAGGCAGCACAATTACACCTCAGGCATAAAAACAGCCCCCGTGGCTGTAATTCAGCAAGATCATGGTTTTACAGAATCAAAAAGCAAACTTCACACGCTTGTGCTTCATTTCCATCACACTTACAGCAGACTTACAGAACAGCCACTCAGGTGAGGAGCACGGGGAAGCAGAAGAGAAGCAGGTGCTTCCATTAATCCTTTCCACCCTTTTTTATTACAACTTCTGTCTTGTCTTTGGCACTGAGATCAAAACTTCAGAGTGTGCTGCTACCTAGGGCTGCTGTACCTGTATTTCTCAGGTTAAAAAAATGCAAACCAAAACACATTGGACCAGCGCAGTGACTGATCTTTGTACTTTGGGTGATTTCTGTACAGCACACGGGTACTGTGCCAAGTGCCAAGAGTGAAGATGCTGGGCAGTGTTAGCCACGGCACTGAAATATTTACACAAGCACATCCCAGGAGGAGTTGCTATGGAAAAGCAATGAACTTTGTGGCAGAGGGAGCTCAGCTTGACACTCAATTTAAAGAACACGGGGATTCTACACCACCAGCACAAGGCAGGTAAACAAGGCTTCTGAAATCTTTAGCTCCATACAACTTTCAAAAGCCGCTGCCTTCCCAAAAGTGAGTAATTGCAACAGTTTTAAAACTAATACTGTAGGCTTGGCTGGTAAAGGAGGTTGAGTGAGACAGAGAAGGTGCCAGTTCCTGCAAAAGCCACAGACTGGCCTGAGCAGAGCTCATGACCTTCCCCATCAGCCTTTCCAGGGTTACTCAGTGAGGGACCCGCAGTTTAACCGGCCCAGTTAAACCCAGCGGAATTTTCACACGCTGTAGCTGATGTAGCTCAACTTTAGCTCAAAAAGTTGCTTGCAGCACAGAATTGCTTCCAACACGGCAAGAATGCCCGTACTGCCATAACGACTGGCAATCTAGGTGGACTAAACCCACGAGCGTGCATTGTTTGCTGTCCACAGTGCTCCTAGAAGGTATTTACAGAAAGCCATCCCATGGATTGGATTCTAGAGAGGGACAGCGATGCCTCCTCGCTCACTGCATGGCCAGGAATGTGCCATTCTTAGGGATGAATATCTCCTGAAACACTCCCCCTTGTTCTAATGCTTGTATCATTAGCAACAGCTAAGAGAAAACTATTATTTCCTTTTTGGTTAAAAAAAAAAAATCAGCTCAATAATACGTACAAATTCACAAGTACAATGCAGTACAGACAGTAACTGAGTAGTTGCTTATTCACAGACTAGCATCCCCCTAAACCAACGTAACTTTCATCTTTCATCTTCCCCTTCAAAGGACAGAAAAGCCAACCCAATAACAACCCCAGACTCCCAAACCTTACAAGGATTAGGAGAAAGCTAAGCTACTGTTTTTAGAACTAGTATAATTTAAAAAAAAATAATGATTCTGCAGATCACTTCTGATCACTCTTGGAGAGAGTTAGGAAAGATTACCATACCTTTTCTTGCTGGTGGGGGCTGCACTGAATATGGGGTAGACAACAGCATTTGGAGGAGATGCTGGAAAAGACAAGTGAGGTTATTGCATTTCAGAATCCCTTTGAGTTGCAGAACGCATTGATACACGGCAACAGAAATTCAAACACCAGCGACACTTCAAAATGATCCACAAGAGTGAAATAGAACTTTGCAGACAAGAGCTTATAAGGGTCCCAGGACGTTGTTGATGCTGCAGGATAACGGTTACGTCCAGAAGTGTACCCAGCCACGATTACCTGCAACCCGCTTAAGTGACACTGCTCAGGCGTCCCACCGCTTCCCCCTCTCACTCTGAAATGATGAAGCAGAAATTTCTGCTGCAGTAGTTCAGTGTTTCCTTGGCTATTAGGAGTGTTAATCAAGCACAGGTTTTTCCATTATTTTGGCAAGGCAGCCTGAACCTAGAGCTTCTTCATCCCAGAGAAGCTGGGAAATGAGGGGCTCAGCACTAGGTTACGGCACCCAAGCTGCACATTTTAGGATAATTTAGCAAAGGCTTTGGTAAGTGAAACCAATCAAATTATTAGTGAGGTATTTATTTTCCCTCAATTTAGGTACTAGACTGCTTTATGCTCTCATATTTGGACTGTGTTCATAAATAGAGACTTCTTGGAAATTACAGCAACAAAACAAAGCACAAAAGCAGAAGAGTGGCCCTAAAAGCCTCCAGAAAACACCCCAGGAAGATGAACCAATTGTTTCTAGGAAGCAGGACACAATAAAAGAGTCCCTTGTCAATATCAGGAGCAGAAAAGATCACAAGGAGTGACAAAGAAGACACTAATAAGCAATAAAAACCCTACAGCTTCCTAGAAATGCAGGATCTGAGAGGGCCAAGAGACTTCTTGGGAAAGGCCCCAGCGGGTAAATAATGTCAGGGAACGCGATGGCAACAGCTTCATAAACAGGTGGAAAACAGTACGAGGAGGCTTTACACAGAGCTGGAGAGAGAAAGAAAAGCAGCTGTCAGCAGAGAGCACAGCCACTTCTCAGGACGAGAGGAGGAGGCACGGAGAAACACTGACCTTCACTAAAACAGGCTTCACTGTGTTCCACAAGTGGAGAAATAAGTTCCCATGTGAAGCAAGACTAAAGGGAGGGGGGGAAAAAAAAAGCTCAGGAGTGCTGGCAGTTTCTTCAAGAAAGAGATTAAGACCAGATGTGCCAGAAAGAAGTGGAGTAAGAGACAAAACACGGGTAAATAGGGACTTTTCTCTGAGGGAATCACAAAGGCGGTAGAAGCCAGGGGAAAGCAGAGCAGGAACTTTTAGGACTGAAAGCAGCAGTGCCAAATTGCAAAGTGAGCTCTACCCGGGAAGGCCACAGTACTGGGAAAACATCCTGGAACAGCAAGGGGAAAACCCCAAAGTTTCTGCTACCAAAAGAGGAGGAAATACTAAAACCAGATAACAAAACATTTAGTGCCTTTTTATTTCAGTCATCAATTAAATAATTGGTTGTGATGAGGGTGTTAGCACAATAAAGACAAAGATCTGAACTTCCAGGGCTGGGGAAAGGTGTGAAGAGAACTCTCAGATACATGAGACCCTTTTGGACTAGGGAGGATTGAATTAACCCAGGGCTGCTGGGGCGAGACCAGCGAATGCTGCCTTTTTTTAAAAGGGAAAAAAATAGAGAAACCAGGAAATGGGGATAAAAAAACATGACCTCAACTTCTGCAAACATACTGGCACATGTTAGCGCATACTTGGAAGATGAGACAGCAGGTAGAGGCCAACACACTATTTTGCCTTAATAAAATAATATTTAAGCAACCTGTTTTCTTTTTATTATCGTTTGTTACTCCCAAGAGGAGAACCATTGACGATCTTAAGCACATAAGGGCGTTTAAGAGTTTATTTTAAAAGTGTTCTTGCATTGAAAATGGGCAGAGACAAACCGATTGAAATAAGGAGAAGGGGAACCATGACACTTAACAACAAGACAGGCAAAATAAGAGATTGGGATCAACCCTCTGGGCAGCAGCTGTGTGTGAAACACTTGGGTCACTGTCTACCTCAAACGAAAGGCATCTCAAAGTTTCCTGTGGAAATGTACATGTTCAGTGCGGGTGAAATGGATAAATTCCTCCCTTCCTGCTAATTAGTGCTGGCAAGGCTCAGGTGCAGCTCAGTTCGGGAGCAGCAGAGCAGTGAGGAGATGGCTCAGTCTGGAGAAAACAAATCAATGAAGAAGTCAGATGTCTAAAAAGCAAGAGTTAAAAAGGAAAGCTGGAAGAACCAGGGAGATTCGTTCCAGGGAGAAAAGAATGGGGAAAAGACCTAATAATAGGATTCAAATGTAGCAGTTTCCCAAACCCTCCTGGGAATGGGCTCTGCAATAAAGCAAAGAGGAGAGAGAGGTTAGACACCAGGATAAAAACAGTTTACATCCTGCTTAACATCAAACCAGATTTGTCAGCAGCATCGCCATCCTTACTGTCCAGCTTATTAAAACACCAAACAACAGGACAAGATGGGAATTCAGCAGAGTGCATCCTGCTGGGGAAAAGCAGGCAACCCAAGAGATTTTTCAAAGTCTCTTCTGCCTCATTTTCCTACAGCAGCAAAGGTGACAGGCCAGGATATGCATAACCCAACTCACCTTGCTTATTCACCTTCCGTGGAGACTGGCTTGAAAGAATAATGCAATCGTCTGACTCGCAGGTTGCAGAAGAACCTCTTTCATCAGCATCCTATAAATTAAGATAATTTTTTTAGGGCAAGAAGAAAACTCTCCAGTTGATGAAGCTCTCAGACACCAGTACAGAGTGACCTACAGTTCAAGTGACCTTCGCTGCGAGCGTTAATTGACATGATGGAGTGTTACCCACGGCTGTATTTTCCAATAACAGGATGTGATCTGAGCAGACCACCCGTCTCACACCCGAATGCTGAATTTGAAAATGTTGCTGAAAACACTGAACCCCAGCCCTGAGGATAAACTTGTTTCCTGTGGGTTCCTCACAGCCTTGAGGCTTGCCATCCCCATTTCTCATCCACCTGCCTTTGTAAGACCAAGTTGTCTACAAACAATTGTCACATTTTTTAATTCTCAACACCTTCACACCTCTGCTTTTGTTTTATTGTGGGATGTGGGTGGTTTGTTTTTAAGGAAATCTTAGAGGTTTCTTCATCTTGGCATTTCTGGAACTTGGCTTTGTTCTCTGTCTAGGACTAGGCATCTTCACAGCTTTTGGAAGCCTCTCCCAAATGTTCTGTAAAAACACAAGTTTGCCAAACTGATTGTTGCCTTGAACTCTGCTCTTTTTGTACGGGACAGTGTATTATTTCCCATCTCATCAGGAACTTGAGACAGCCACCGGGTAAAGCAGCTGGCTGGAGTGGAATCTGAGACTAGATTCAAGGCCAAGTCTGAGTTCAGTTTGCAGTAACAAAGTCACCAAGTTCTCTTTTCAAACCCCCCACGCTTCTGGTTAACCTCTGCGAAATGCCAACACAAAAACCTGCCATCACAGCAGATCCAAATACTTTCAGGTTTGAGGTTTTTTTTTTTTACTGCACATGCAAGACGAGATTGCACAAGCTAACATTCGTGTTTTATTAATGCTGCATTGTCAAAATGTATTGATAATCAAGTCAGGAATGTGAGAGAGATACTGAAACAGTGCAGGTGAACAAAAGAGGCAGTAAACTGTCCTTTATTGAGCCCACACAGGAATAAAACACATTTGCCCTATAAAACCAGCTTCCTGTCTTGCCCACTGCTTCCTTTCAGTGCCCAGTATAAAATACTACGGTTGTATTCCACTGGCTTTTCTTACCTTCCACATCTTAGATGCCAGAATGCAAGAGCAAAACAGGACAGTAAGTGTAACAAAAGAGTTTGCAAACCTGCTGGGAATTTGTATTTCACTGCTGCGCTGGGTCCATTGCCACCCTTACCCCTCACACCTAGGCACAGCATCAGAAAGCGAAATTTGCAGCCCAAGCTAAACAATTCTCTGTCAAACCCTAAAATTAAAAGTGAGGTCTGGCAAGTATTAACTGGGTGGCAATAAGCAAGACTCATTGCAAAGTTTAACCATTCCAGCACGGCTAAACATATTTGCACAAGAATCAAATGGATGTTTAAACCAAACCAAAATGAGACTTTTCTATCACCAGGAGTATTCACTGCTACACACAAAAATTGCTTAAACCTCTTCAGTGAGACACAAAAGGGTTCCAGTTCTTCAAACACAGGCCAGCTCAGAAAATCAATTGTGGGTTTGTTAAAGCAGGAGAAACTGAGGCTTAGTCTCGCTTCCCTGAAGAAGGGAGCTGCAGGACTAGCACACAGAGTTCCTGAATCACTAAAAAGAGAATTCCAGACCAGACCAAAACCTGTTAACCCTGCTCAAATTGTACCAGCAAGCAACATCTTGTGACCCAGGAGGAATCGCTAAATAAAGACACTTTTAAAAATAATTGTGCCTTCTCTGTCGGATTACTTCACTGTCTGAGAAGCACATGGCTGGGGAAAAACAAGAAAGGCTTCAGGGAGCAGAGCTCTTGAGAAGCACCTCCCTCCTCCAGCTCTGAGCAGGTAACGTTTGGCACAGTCCTCTAGGGAGAACGCCCAGGATGCGGGCTCGTGACCTCCCACAGAACTCTGCAAGGCCAGACTTGGCGTTTGTTACATTTACTAAAATGGAAAAAAAAAAAAAAAAAAAAAAGGACATTTAAAAACCTCTTTTTCAGCTTTGCCCTTTATAATGGGGAAAAAAAAAGATACAGATTGTCTTTTGCCAAAACATCATGCAGAAAGCTTTCCGTTCAGCCGTCATAAATGGAACATTTCACCACAAGAGAGAGCTAGCGACAAACAGAGAAGTTCTTGTTGTGAGTATCCTGGAAGTTCACCACAGGTTTATGCCTTCATAAGGCAGGAATAAATCTGTGCAAGTTTTCACAGGCAAAAGGCACTAATCTATCTAAATAAACACCTTCTGTCCGAACAGCCGGAGCACGTGGTACGGCCAGCTTGCTCAGTGAGCTCTGCGTGTGGCCCCTGAATGCCTCCGCAGGTCCTGGGGACACCTCTGCTTACCTCCTCCTCTCCATCGCTGTCTCCTGCGGCGGCAGACTTGGAAGTACAAAATGGACCAGAGGTGCCTCCGCTTTTCTGTGGAGATGTTTTTCCTTCCCACGCCAGCCCTTCCTCTCGATTTATACAGCTCGTAAAGTCCTGCTTGTTCTCATTTTCCTTCTTCTGAGGCACAGAAATGCTTCTCAATACACCACCAGCCTCAAGAATTTTGTTTCTATCGGCTGAATTGGACTTTGCAGTTGGCAGTGGTCCAGGATGGTGGTTTTCTTGCTGAGATTTAGGGAGACCCTTAGTATCTACAACTGTTTTTTTAGAGTGGGATCTCTTCTTGGCTGTAAAGAACGCTGCTCCCAGCTGGAGTTTCAAGGCTGGTTTAACTGTCATGCTGAGGACTCTGAAGGGCGAATCCATCTTCTTTTTAATTAGGCAATTCACATTCTCTTTCTCTGCACTGGCTTTTCCCGGTGGTACGTCTCCCTTTGCCTTCTGAAGCGGTTTGAGGACAGTTTTGCCATGCTTGGAGCCAGTTGCATGCTTCTTGGTTGGCTTTGAGCTTGTATACCTGCTCAAGTTGATGTTCATCTTCTCAGTCCTGCTGGCAGCCGGGAGATTTTCATCGCTGCTCCTCTCACCCAAAGCGTGCTTCTCGTTCAGTTTCCTCTCCAGAGGAGTAAGGTATCGCTTTTCCTTGCCATAAAAAGACACCACAGACACAAAGGGCTTATAGGAGGAAGCGGGCTTGGGGGATGATTTCCCCGAGGACTCCCTTTGCGCGGCTGTGGGAACGCTGGCTGCCTGAAGCGGTGAGATATCCAGCCTTCTCGACACCGGCACAGCCTCGTTTTCCTTCATCTCATCATTGGAGCTTGACGACCATTTTATCTGAGAAGCCAACCAATTCTTTCTCGGTTTCTTGAGCAGAGACAGACCTTCAGCAAAGCCTATCATCATTTTTTTCACAGGAGTCTCAAAGGCTGAGGATGAGCTGCAAAAATAATTATGGAGCAAAACATCATATATACCGTTGAAAGCTTTTCAGTTATTGTTTTATTTAAATAACACTTATTTTCACTCAGCCTCGTTGCCCATACTGGTATATGCCCTGTAACAAATACAGATATCAAATACCAAAATATAATACACAAATACCAAAAGTCCTAAGACTGTCTCACCGTTTCCCATGTCTTTTTAAAAATTTTTCTAAAATACCAAATCTATTTTCCTTCCTGAAATTGTTGAAGCACCTGGGAAAAACATTCTATTTTCTGGAACAGGATCAGTGCTATTCACGATTAAGGAGGGGAAAACAAACCTAAACATGTTTGATTTGTTTCAGAACAACGCTGTCAACTGACATTGGCGGCTCTGAAAAAGCTTCTGCATCCCCTGCCCCCATATGTATGATAAAGCTGGGGGGATCTCACAGTATTTTACACCTGTTTCTGAAAGGCACACCCCAAAATCTCACTCTCAGAGCTATTTCAGAATCTCAAACCTCATCAGGAAATCACTAACAGGTTCTGAACTGCCCAAAGGAGATAACACGTTTGTATAAAGGAGACCTTCAGGCGTTCCTGGTTGTAACATTTCTGGCGTTTCCTCATGAGTATTTACACTTTATCTCAGGAATTTGCCCTTCCAATTCAGAAATCAAACTTCACTTGGTCTCTCTCCTCTCCCCGAAATATTTTTGTGGGGAAAGTACAGGCCAAGCATGAGAAAAATCTGTTCAGCTGGTAGAGTTGCGAAAGAATGAGAAACAATTTTATTTTGGATTTAAAGCTCAGCTTTCTGTTTATGGCCAGTGGCTTCTCCTCCACTGGATTTAGGGGGCGGGTTGGGGGGAAAAAAATCGATAATTTTTAGGTATATGTAACAAAGGAACTATTTTTCTAGTAACACTAGAAGACTATTCAGATAATTTGTGCAGACCTCAGTATTTCTGCACTGTATATCAACATTTTTCCAAACAGGAAAGACTGAGACTTTCCCAGAACAAAACTCAAACATCAGGGGTTTTATTTCTTAAAACAAGCAGGTTTCAGGTTTCTAGTGGTTTTGTGACTTACTCAGGGCTAGGTCTGCATCCACTTGATAGAACAAGATACCTTTCTTTTATTAAAGAGAAAAAAAACGCCCTAAGGCAAACTAATGCAATGGGCCTGCAAAGTATCAGCTCAGCATAACGGCTTTTCCTCATTTCTAGTTCTGTGCTACGGACTGCAGATCAGTTTCAGCCTCGGTTTAAATATTAGATGAAATCTCTCAAGATGCTCAAAACATTATAAAAATGTTATAAGTCACCAAATAACAAACATGAGGTGATGCTAACTGTGTCTCGGAACCAGCTGAATGTTTTTCCCACTTTACATTAAAAGCTCTCAAGGATTTTAAGCATCTATTTTATTCTACATGCAGCTATTGAGTTGTTTTAATAGAAAAAAAAAAAATCAATGAGAGGTTACCATACCCATCAGTATCCATAGAACTATGGGTCCTTTTCTGGGGGGTGACAGCTGCCATGTCTTCACCAGAGCGCCTGCAAGAGCACATTTTTAATAGCTCAAAATAGATTTTCAGTAAAAAACAAAATCAACAACAACAAAAACTTAGTAAGGAAGGAAGAAAAGGTGGGGGACTGGGAAGAAAACACCAATTAGAAACAGCTCAGCCACAACAGAGACTAGATTAACGCAGGGCTGTGTTTCAGCTGAGCGTGAGCCGTAAAAGAAGCGCACACAGAAAAGATCTTCCAGGTCAAGCCCAATTCTGCCACCGTGGACAAATGCAGCCTAAAGTCCCTTCTCTAAACTGGAGTCAGCTAACTCCAAAACGTGTTTTACTTTCTGTCTCTCACACCTCATTGCAGACCTCACAGATGTGGTTCCTAGAAATCTGCTTTCTCCTGCCTACCTTCATGGTCAGTTTATTCCCCTGAGGATTTCACGTTGGCATCTACCTTCCAGCCGAGGCAGTCCTTTGCCCAACAGACTTTCAGAGTTTCTCACACCTTCCTTCTCACCAAATACCACAAACCACACTTTTTTTGCCTTCATTACCCAGTAGCCATTTAAGCCACTTGAACACTCAGCACTGTTCACTCCATCTCTTCCAGTTGGAAATAATTAACCTACAATGTTAACTTCCAGTTACACGACACTTCACAACCGAAACCCCAGAATACACAAAAACCTGTACCCAACAGGAATAACAATAAATATCCACAAACTGCTAGAAGGCCACGTAAAGTATAATTTATTCAATAATCTGCCAGCAGGGGGAAGTTCCTCCTAACCTGCCTGCTTTAAGGCGGTGCTGCTTTCGGGGACTGACGACAGCCCAGACACCACAAGCTGGTGTCAAGCCCAGGAACAGCGAGGACACAAGTGGTGGCAGATGATCGACCCAGGAGCTGCATGGCTGCAGCAGGAGCTGTACAACCTCAGCACAGAGCAGCGCTGGCAGAGGGGAACTTCGAGAGAAAACAGGCAAGGCCCTGGAAGTGGGCAACAAGAACAAGCCTGCAGGCACCTGGGAAATAAGATATCGGGCACAGATGAAAGGAAGAAGATAAGATACGGATGGCAGGAGAGTCAAGGAGCACAAGCCGGGGGAGCAATCCTTGTAACTGGCACTGTTAACTGGAGGATCCCATAGACAGCTACCTGCAGAGCAGCTGTCCGCTGCCCGCCCCAGCCCCTTCCCAAAACACCCATAGTCCAGTTCCCAGCTCCCCCCTCCAGTTGGTCCCACACCTCTGGCACTCCCAAAAGCCCCTCACCCCAGATGCCCCACACCTCAGTATGGCAGCAGTGCCCACAGACTGCACCCTGCAGGGGCACCAGCCCCTCACCCCAGCACCCTGCACCTCTCCCACCCCCCCAGGACCTAACCA